ACCAGGTCGGGAATAATGGAATGACTGTTGAGATTGCAAATATCTGACCTAATTTCCGTGATCTTCTAATTTTGGTGCATAGTCTAAACCTGTTATCGGGTGCACAGGCATGAAGGGGCATTTCCTGCAGTCAGCAGTTGACCTTGATTCCCCTTCACCAAGTCCAGCTGGAGTCTGTATTAACGAATTAGGCTTATCTCCCTTTGCCTGGTACCTGTTATGGTGTCTAATAATGAAAAACATGGCTATATATAGTGTAGAAAAGGAAAAAACAGCCCCACCCATTATAATTGTTATGTTTACATGCTGACATAAGCATAAATGATAATGATAAGTACTGAAATATCAATAGCAGTAAGGTAAAAACATATCTTGCTATATGCACGTAAAATATAAAATTATTTGTTGTCTGGCTGTTGTCCAACTTGCTGATAAGTAGACAACAGAGTCTGTACACTAGACGTTCCTTGAATCAGTGTTTCCTCATTAGTGTGATGGTGTTTTAGCTGGAGTCTTGTGTTTGCTAATGTTGCTCATGTTCCTGCCCTGTAGTGCTGGCAGCTGTTGTCGATGTGCATTCCCCTGTTCCTGCCCAAGCACATGTTCCTCTGGTACCTCAGGGCACACCTCAGCCGCAACGCTGATCCCAGGTAAGATATGCCTTCTACCAGCTTGTTTTGTGTCTAGCCAACAATTATGAGACCCTTTTCCCTCTAGTCCTGAGGCTGTACACTTCACAAACAAGTTATCAGAAAGTAGGGAATATTAGATTAAACTGATCAGCATTCCTTCTTGTGTATATTAAACATATCTTACTACCTGTTTATGCTTTGACCTATGAATAACACAGGTTGCAACTATAATGCTACCGGTATGTCTAATTCAGAGCAGGTACTGTAGTTTGTCCCCTTACATGTATTTCGTGCCCTACATTTTGTAATAATTGGCAACAGGGTAAAACAAACAGCTTTAATCCTAGGAATATTGAGGGATTTACCAACCCAACATTGGGCAGGATCTCCAACTGTTCACACAGGAGGGTAGATGAACAAAATTTGGCTGTTTAAACCTTACTTTGGGAGATCCTGTTATCGAATCCATCAGTGGCACTGATGGATTCGATAACAGGATCTCCCAAAGTACTGTGGTATGGGACAGGGCGATGGGTAGCACAGAGAACTTGCCCATGGCTATGAACAGATGCAGAGTTAGTTTATAGACTTAATCTTCTTGTAGATAAGGTTAACAATATTAAAGGGCCAAGAGATTGAATATCAAATATGTGGAAGAAATTATTGTGTGCTTGGAAAAGTTTAAATTGAAGTGAATGCGTATAAGTAAGATGAGTGAGAGAGATCAACTTGCTGAGATGTCACTGACAGAACTCATATAACAGCAAGTCCACTTGTTTCTGCTTGTGTTCAGGACTGAGGTGGGGAAGTATGCAGTGTACTGTCAAAGGTCGCTGGAGAGGACGTTGAGAAATGGTGGCAGAGAGGCCCGGCCCTCCCGCATGGAGCTGCTGTCCATCCTGCTGAGGAACCCCTACCACCACTCACTCCCTGTCAGCATCCCAGTACACTTCCTCAACGGCACATATCAGGTGAGCTGCCCCCTCCCACCACTTACTACTTGTCATGATGATCAGCAGCCCAGTACTCCAGCACTAGGGCACACATCAGTTCACACACCCCTTCTACATATGCTGGCTTTTAGGGACTGTACGATATTTACCGGGGGGGGAGGGCCGGTCGTCTGAGGGGGGAGGGCCTAGGAAAAAAAATTTGAGCCGGGGGGAGGGCCTAGGAAAAAATATTTTAATTTGGGGGAGGGCCTAGGTAAAATTTTTTCCAAGATCCCTTTAACTCTACAACGTTTTTATACACTTTCAAAACATGATTAACGTCTGTCCCATACATTTTGTAGCGATTTGCCGGTCATTGGAATCGGCAGAATTTTACGTTCCAATAATATCCATCCCTATTATTATAATGTATTCGCCCAAATCTCCCACAGTCCTCTTCAAAATCTTGCATTTTCGCCAGAATCGGCGAAACTGGACTACACAGCCAAATTACATGGATTAAAGTCGTGTCAATCGCGGCTATGGAAACGATACCGATCAAAAATGTAGGGAAGGCTGGTCGGAAGATTTTGAAAATTAATTTCCGCCGTTCAACGCACCCTTCCCAGTGATGTGCGTGCGTCGGCAAAGGTGACCCGCTGGTCCCGCCTCGCAATTCACGAGTTGCACATTCCCAGGATCCTTTGCGCACAGGGTAGGTCACGTGGGCGCTCAGGGTAGGGAAAGGTCGCGGTAAACCACGTGACTCATCCTCGGCTCTGGTCGGAAGAAGTCGGAAGTGTTCGCGAGCGCTCGGAAATTTCAAAAATGTCTGACACCACTGCCGGCGGCGGGAGGCACGTAGTTTTTCACGGCGTTCGTACGGCAAAGCGGCATCGAATTTTTGCTCCATGACTATCGGTATGGGATAGGATAGGGTTGATTCAACATACTACGTGAAAATGTGACAAAAAGACAGACTTTTGAAATTGAATGCTCCCAGCCTACTATCGGCCAGATAGCTTAGGGCACCTTCTTCCGACCAGAGCCGAGGATGAGTCACGTGGTTTACCGCGACCTTTCCCTACCCTGTGCGCCCACGTGACCTACCCTGTGCGCAAAGGATCCTGGGAATGTGCAACTCGTGAATTCGCTCAAACTTCTCGGCGTGGATGTCGGATGTCAACGGATTAATTTGGTATTTTTTTAAACCAAGGACTATTTTAACATTTATATCTATGTCCCTCAAAAGTTAATTGAAAACAACACGTAACTTGGCAATATTGTTTCCCTGTTTGTAATAAAATTGACGCGGAAGAAGTTCGTGGACGAAAGGTAGGCTAGATTTATTTCGATTTAATACACTGACTGACCGTAACGTTACTGACTTTAATAGCTCGATGTACCAGCAAAATTTATGCTGCCAAATTTGCCCCTCAACATGCAAAACATGGGTTGAAATTCACTCCCCCCCCCCGCCCAAAAGTCGGGCCTACTCGGGCTCTAGTGGCGCCTGCGGCGCGATCGCTCGCGCCTTCGGCGCTTCATGCGGGGAAAATTTTCAATCAAAATGTCGTCCTCCCCATACGAAATTTCACTCTCTATGATTCACGCCTGGGGGAGGGCCTAGGAAAAAATTTTTGAGCCGGGGGGAGGGCCTAGGAAAAATTTTTTGACCTGGGGGAGGGCCTAGGAAATTTTTTTTTACGCTACCCCCGGACGACCGGCCTCCCCCCCCGGTAAATATCGTACAGTCCCTTATGAGTTTCTGTCACAAGTCTGTACTCTACCGGTTTTTCTGTTCCATCCCCAGGTTGTAGGGTTTGATGGCTCTACAACAATAGAAGAGTTCTTGAGGACGTTGAACACGGAGATTGGCACTCGGGACTGCTCGCTGTCTGGGTTTGCCCTCTTCACTGATGACCCTTCAGGACGGGAGATAGAACACTGCCTGCAGGCATCAGTAAAGGTATTTTGGATTGAAATCAAACACGTGTACAACATTGATTTGTCAAAAGTAAAATCAAAAGTTTCTTGTATTAAATCTTCTAGATTTCACACCTTTGTGCGTTTTCTGTTTCAGCTGTGTGATGTGATCTCGAAGTGGGAACAGGCCCTGAGAGAGCAGCAACCCGGCAAGTTTGAAACCACCAGGATCGTCAGGCTGACTTACAAGAACAGGTAAATATGCATGTTGTATGCTATGTGTGTGTGTGTGTGTGTGTGTGTACATATATATACATGTATATAGCAATTATGCTACAGAAAATGCCTCTTTGTAACATTGTCTTCTGATGACCCACAGATGTAAATTGTATGTGCTGTATTGCTTTTATCCAGACTATACCTGAAGAGCATGGTGAAGTCAGAGACAGAGAAGGAGCGGTTACTGCTGACATACCAGGTGAACGAGGAGGTGGTGAATGGAAGATTTCCCCTCAACAAAGAGCTAGCCTTGGAGATGGCTGCTCTTATGGCTCAGGTACAGCACAGACTGTTGGGCTTTGTGTATGTAGTTGTTTGACAGCAGGTTTTGAAGCCTCATTTATGAAGGTGTGTAACATTTCATAATATGTCAGATATAGGGATCATAAAGAATGACACTGAAAGGTTAAAACATTTATTGAGTAAATATTGAGTAAATCCCTTCCTCCTGACCAGATTGAGTTTGGTGACCACACCAGCGGAGGCCAGTCCAGCCCTTCCCAGAAGTCCCAGGTGGACCAGGTACTGGAGAGGTTCTACCCCATGAGGTACAAGGATGGCTCTGAGGACCAGATCAAGTGAGTGCAACACTTCCATGTGGCATTTCTCAAACCTTTCCTTATGTTTCCCTCCTCAGGCTCCTCAGAGTGCTTTGTCAGTTGGTGTCTTCTTGGGACCAAACAGTGATCAGTATCAGATCAACTTTATTTTTACAAACACTTAGAAATTTGGTAAAAAGGCCATTTTTCACAAAAGAGTATGTACCGGGGTAGCTATTGGTAGCAATGGTGATCATGGCTGCTTGTTGATAAGAATAATTACGTGTCTTGGAGTACACATGTAATCTCTTCCCCTCTACAAAAAATACAGGCAGCTGGGCCAGAAGCTTTCCACCAAGTGGTCAGGGTTGAAGGCTCGAAGTCAAACAGACTGTGTCCGCATCTATCTGACAGTAGCGAGGAAGTGGCCCTTCTTCGGAGCAAAACTCTTCACTGGCAAGGTGAGCAATGTTCCAGTATTTGGTGACTTAGGGAACAGGGGATGATAAACTATATATATATATACATTCGGTGAGTGAGTGAGTGTTTGTGTCGCAGAGGAAAAGACATTAGTAACACAGTAGTAATGCTATAAATCCTTGGTAGATATGAATGGCACTGGAATTTTCAGTAGCTGTTCATCCATCAATTAAGTTTTGTCCTACCACTCACAGCTGTTTCTGGCAATGCATATAAGGGATCCAGTGGTCCCATGGTGCTGACTAGACCGCATCCTACTCCTAGGTTATTCCCATTCCTACATGACCCCCTCCCACCTCTACCTCACTAGGTCAAGCAGAAGTGTGGGATTATAACCTGATATACTCTTGCCATAATGAAACATGGCCCAGTGACAGGTCTTGTCCACCCTGTCTGTCACTGATGCATGTGGTAGAACACTCTAGGGTCAAACTGTGCAAAGAAAATTGAAAGTGAATCATGCAGATTTTCAGGCCTGGATGCCGGACTGTTCCCAGGGCCTACTTGTCAAAAGTACTTGGCTCCAGGGACAATGTACCCTCAATGGCTCAAGTAAATTTTACAACAGCCACATCCCCACCCCCCACCCCCCAAAACACACACACACACAAGGGGCTTGCATCCAGGCTTCCCAAGTCTTGACCACATTAAGATCAGTTGTTTACAAATATATGTTAAGAAATTTACGTTAAGTCTAAGACCCTCCTGCACATTATAAAATGTTCCCCCAATGCAATTTCAGGGCGGCAAAACTGGAAATATTCTGAATAAGGCAACCTGTATGATATTGACACATACTGTGCCACATTAGCACATTTGAATCAGTATTACATACTTTAGGCATTAAAACTGCGGATACAAGCCCAAAGATAAGTCCATTATTTTCTGAACACCTTTCTGTTCAAGAAGTTGCTTTTAATCAAGCAAACCTGCTGGCTGATTAAGGTCTTCCTTGACAACTTTTAAGGTCATAAGGTTAAGCAAAGGCCAGAGAGATCACAGTTGGCAGGCAGGGGAATGTGATTGTGAATACTGTAATTGACAGCTAAACCTTCCATGAAATATGCAGCAATTTCTCGGTAATTATTTGGGATATAGGGTTACAATCACAGATGCTTTATAATGTACTATGGAGCCCTCTGGAGTCACATAGTAATTATCCTCGCTGAGAAAATCACTTCATTCAACTTAGTATGTGATACAGGATAGATTATTTTGTTTTACTTGTGATGGTCAGTTTGTCTGATCTAACTGCTTGACAACTCCTGTTTTAGCTCTATGATTAGAGCATACTGCCCTGAGGCATCAGCTACATTGCCCAAAAGCAGTCACGATTCATTTGCCAGAAAACACTCATTATCTCATGAGCTCATTATAAGCATATATAATCATGACTAGATCATAGTAGATGGGGTTTCTTATTGACCTGAAAATGGACAACTTTAGTACATCCCCACACTTTTGTATAATCTTCTGTCATATAATCTTATTCCTTACTTGCAACTTGTACAAACCACAAATACATGTGGCTTGGGAGCATGGTCGACTTGAGTGATTTGAGTGATAGCCTTGAGTCAACATCGGGAATAGAAAACTGGGGTTATCATCTCTGCCATCACACATAAGTAGTCCACCTTGCTTGAATGTTGTGCATAATCACACACAACACTAGAGGCTGAAGGCTACTGGTGGCTGGGGGGCATGTGCCCATCATATAATCTCCCTTAACAAAACAGCACATTCATCACAGTTAAGGTGCTGTCAACTTTTTCTAGGAAAGTTACTGGAGAAGTGTGTATGTACATGTGTTCACCATACAGATGTGTAAAAAAGGATTCTCTTGAGTTCAGGTATGAAAAAATATGAATAACTTGCATTTTGATTTCCCAATCCCAGCATCAAATTTGCCATGATTATCATATTAGATGAAAGGTAAAAAGAAATAATAATCATAGTACACCAGTTAGTCTGGTTGCTGACATACACAGTTTGGACACAGAGATATCATAAGATGTAGCTTGTTGGTAAGTTGTATTCTTTATGGTGCAGGTATTTCTAACAGTAGTAAACATGGAGAGACATAGATTGTTATCAGCTGGTATCTGACCATTTTGACCCACAAAGCCCCTGAATGTTGAAAGATGAGTCAGGCTGTTGTTTTTCAAAGTTCAACAATGGATGACTCAGGCCCAGCCTTGAAGGCCACAGGGCTGAAAGATACCCTGATATGAAGAACCTGACGTAATGTTTACCTTGACAAGTCAGATGTGTGCTGACAGATAACATGCAACCAACCTACTTAGGTTTCTGTTCAGTTTTCAGTACAAATGAACAGATTGATATAGCCTCTACCAGGCTTGAGGGCAAACTGTAAACTGGATGGCTAAACTACCTCGGCGTGTTATATCTCTCTATTTGGCCAATTTCTACTACTAGTATTTCCAGCGGCACCCTCAAGCGGAGAGTAGGTTTCGCGCTCCAACGTGGCAAAAACTCCCTCGGCAGCAAATCGTCCCTCGCGGCCGCATATTACTCGCGTCGCTCAGAGAAAAAATAACGCCAACGCCCAACAAGACTGCGAAGGAGGCTAGGTAAAGGCTAAGATTGATATACAAGCAACTAATGCAGTGCAGTCTACCACACAGGCAGGCTGCACAACAGCTATACTCAATGATGATGATAATTGTAATTCATTGCAAATTGGCGTTAACTTTTGTTCCCGAGCTTGTGATAAGTTATGGAGTATGATCCATGCTAACAGTATTGTTTGTTCCTCCATAGTTGAAGGGCATAGAAGGCCAGGGTCTGGTGTGGCTTGCTGTGCAGGAGGACAGCATCAGCCTACTGGAGTACACAACCATGGTAAGTACCTACCTGGAAAATGAATGAATGATGCCAGTGAATCTGAGGAACAAGAAATTAAATTGGTTTGGCCTTATCCATCCATAAAATCCTTGTTTACGAAAACCGTACACCTGTGTGTTGCTTTGTTGTAGTCACTACATTTGTATAAGCAAAACAACCCTTATTTGTGTTTTACCAGGAAGTACTGTCTCCCACCTGACTTCCCTTGTTGTCTGCTCTTTTATATGAAGATCATGTTTGCCAATCTCTGATCAAACACAAAATACCCCAACACAAACACCCCCCACAGGTCCACTGTTACCTGACACCCAGCTGGACTTCAGTGCACAGCCCTAATTCCTTGAGTGGTTATTCCAGTTTCCTGGACACCTGCCCTGCTTTAGAAGATTTTCTTTCCCTTCATAAGACGTTATGCTGCTTAGAGGTGGACTTAGTGGGTACAGTGGCTGGAATGACCAATTTATCAAAGTGGTTAATCTGAGGTCTGGAGGACACTGGACCAAAACTTTCATCAGCACAGGTTGGCTCTATCAATTTAGCCCTGGATTTACCTGGCTTGTTCAAAACATGACCCACACTGGACTGATTTTTGCCCTTGACAAAGTTAAAGAGACAGCTAACAGTTTAATAGGATGTTTTTCAGTCATAGCCTTTGCCTTCAACAGGTGAAAACAAAGTTTCAGACTTAGATTGAAGGCATTTCTACTTGATTAACAGATTGAAACCGTAAATAACTTAATAAGGGAGATCAGGGAAACATAGGAGCACACCTGTCCATCAGTAAATATTTGCATCACACACAGATGTAAAACAATAGGAGATAACAGATGAGGCTGTAGTCAAAATTACAGTTTATAATTTAGGTTGCCAGTTTTATTACCCCTGCTATCAGGATTTGGCCATTTTTATTATTCCTGCTATTAGATAGCCTGGTTGCCAGACCCAAAGCACACAAACTTTGACAAAGACTGGACAGTATCTCAGTGAGCTGAGATACTTTGTGTCCAGTGTGCTAAAGGTTTGGCACCCAGGCTAGCTATTTAGACTCCTTACAGCTTGAAATTCAACCATGTTTGCTATAAAAAAAGTGACCTTTTGGGAGTGTACATATCCAAGCTGGATTTCAGGCTATCCGCAGCAGTCCCAGGTTGTGGAACAGGAACAGGCTTAGCCTGGGTGCCAGACTGTTTTCAGAGCCTACACAGGCCAGTTCCTCAGCTCCAGGGCCAACATGCCTTGAGGAAATTATTCCACAGCCCTGGAACCAATGAGCTGAAATAGTCTGGCATCCAGGCTAAATACCCACATTCTAATGTGTATCAATCTCTACCTGTCACAATGGTGGTGTGATGTCCAGTTGTGGGACAAACTGGCCACTAAAGAGAGCTTATCAGCTCATCTCTCCCATATACATCTTGCCTGGGTGATAATTTATCACCAGATTGTCATCATCCATGGTTTATTTGGAATCCACAGGGAAGCATTATGGGACTGATAATCTTTATCAGATGGTCACATTTACCCCATGCTTACTTTCGTATTACTGGTTTGATCTAAGAAGTGTATGTTTGTTTGTATACCTGTTACTGTTAGCATTTGTGTTGTCCAATGATATAAAGTGAAATACAGGTCAGTCGATTTCAGAAGCCATTCTAAACATGGTTGCCCCACACAATTATCCATGAAAGTTTTGTCCACATTGCCATTATTTACATTGTACTAATAGCCTGGGTTCCATCCCTGAATCTTATACCCCATCTGTTCTACCTCCACAAAGGCAGCGGGTTTTGTCATTCAAGGAAACTTATAACAAAGATTGGAGGAAAGAAACATGTTTCAACCAAGGAGCTTTCATGTTTCAACCAAGGGATGTTTCGATCCCACTGTGATTGTTGGGAGCCTGCAGTCCTCAGCCTAACCTGACCTCTAAGGGGAGAGCTGAAGCTGCCTAGTGAAAGGAGTCAGTGGTGATGTTGGTCATTTTGACACATGCCTAACCTCTGTCTGTGGGGAGTGGTGGGCAGGGTTATTAGCCTCCCACTGGTGGGGAGTAGGGTTGATTGCTGGCATGGTGGGAGGGGTGCCAGACAGTGATGATGCTGCAGTATGGGGCAGGCTGTCTCTCCAAAAGCAGTAGTTCTGATGTATGGGAGGGGGTGCCAGACAGAAAGTCCCCAGCCTGACCCCTGTGACAACAGGGTGATTTGTCCCAATACTGGGAAAATGGGTACCACATGTCTGACCAGTCAGGAGGGGATCAGGTATCTGACTTCCCTGGACATTTGATGTATTTTTTCTGCCCAAATCATGATGGTGCTAGAGCAGTAGTCAGTAGATGATGTATATATTCTATGATCAAACTCCCATACCTGCAGGAAAGCCACTGTTGTATGACATATCAAGAATCATTCTATTTTACTCAAAATCAACCCTTTAACTTCTACAACTCATTGCCATTAATAATTTTTGATGGACTGAAGCATTCCCAAATTATGGTCTGGGAAAAATCAACATCAACTTTTTCATTGTGATACATTCAACAGGTGTACATATTTGATGTTTGTTTTTGGTTGTGCTCCCCATCCTTAAAAAAGATTGATGAGACAAAGGAGATAACGAACTGAATTGTCAGTATATATTAGATGATAAAAGTATTTTCACACTAAACTGGACCATCTGGGCCTTGTTATCTACAGGCTTGCCAAGGACTCAAATGGGTCCCATTTGGCTCTATCTTAATTATTTTTCATTTATTTGCTTCTATCAATTATTTGTTGACAACTAGTAACAACAAGCAGACTGCAGGTATTTTGTCAAGGGAAAGGGCATCATTGAATTTAAAGAATGGTTAAGACTGAGGTATGGTGAGGTGTTGTTGTTCTGACTGATGATATATTGTCAAACAAACCTTCTGTTGTTTGTCCTCTTGAGGTCAGGCCTGAGTGGTGAAGGGCACAGATTTATTGCTATTTGTGGGCTCCTGCTTCTACTTATCTGTCCATTTGTCTCTCACCATGACATGACCAGCTGGTGGTCAGACATACGGAATGGTCAGTTCTGGTCAGTCTGTCCTGACCTCTCCATTGCCAGGATGCCATAGCAGGGGAGGCAAACCAAAACCAGTCCCTTCTTGGACATAACCCACCATCATTGAAAGCATCCAGATTGTATTATAATACTTCCTTGAAACTATTCTGACATTGACCTTTGCACACTTTTGAGCTCATCTCTTCTGCGTTACCAGATAAAATAGCAACACCACCAGACACTGCTGATGTGCCACTTCTCCTCTTGGCAATAACAAGTGTATCAAGTTGTGCTATTCTGGCATCACATTACTCAACTGTGTACTAAACACCATCAAGGTGTTGTGTGTGGTTTACGCACATTATGTGGGCCTTGCCAAAGCCGCGTACACGGTACAGACAGATGCTACCTGATGACCCGAATTGTATGTTATATCATACTATGATAGGACATCTGTCATTATCCGAGGATCATAAATTGTTATTCAGATTATGTATGACATAACACGTCTCAGACATGTGTCAGATGGAAATAGAAACCTCTCCTCTTCCTGCTGGAACTTGTTCATGCCTGCTTGCTGATGTGGATGCCAGGAATATACCACAAAATGTCAGCCTGAGGCTTGATATACAGCTGTCAGGCCCAGCCCAATGTTATTTGACCCTACTTCCAGACATGTTACAAAAGCTCCCCCTCCTATCGCCAGGTTGTCTACACTGGCTATCAACCAACTTGGTTGCTGGAGAATAATGCCGATTCTGCTGACCACATGAAATAAATCTGGTCATTTTATGGTCCTGACTCTCTGGGAGGTGTCATGTGGCACCCAACAAAACTTTATACACTATGCCAGTAAAATGTAGAGGTTGCCTTTGATCTGTGTCTAACCATGGTCTAACATAGTCTCTTGGATTGTTGCATTTCCCTTCTGCAATCTCCCAAATACTCCCACTGCCCAGGTCAAGGATATGTTGGAACTACGATGTATCATTGCACCTCAGTGTTTGACTTGCATCTGAGGCACTGGAACTATTTCATGTAGAAAATGTCTATGCTCCCTGCCTTTTGTTATTATTACAGTTTGCCCTATCCTGTAAATTTCTGGGATTGAAACCAAGATACTAAAGGGACCAAGTGCACATGGGGAGAGTTAAATAATCTTTAATCAGGAGAGAATGTCCTCACTGGCCAGGAATGTTGGGATACCTGGGCCTCTCATCAGATGGAATCTCTTCTGATCACAAAAGATTTGAACTAACTAAACTTGATATATGACATGGCCTTGCACAGCTCTTCCAAGAACTTGCAGCTGTAATTGGTAACTAGGAGGTCCTTCTTAGAAGCTGTACCATTAAAAGTAAGCTCGGAATCCAGCTGTGGTGGTGTAGTCTAACTCCTCAACTGTACAATCAATCACATTCTTTTTTCGACCCATTTGTATATGACTGTAGCTGGAGTCTGCAGTGAAGTAGTATTTGGGTAACTGGATTAAACAGCTGTAGATTTACGACAACAGTCAAGGAATACGAAAAAGCAGACACTGATGCAGGATTTGTTGTTTGCACATACTCCATCATTCTTTTACTGAAGATTTTTGCCATTCTGACTGCTTCATGTTCATTTCCAGCGCCTATTGGTGACCTACAACTACAAGTCTGTGGTGACATTTGGTGGCTGTAAGCAGGACTTCATGTTGGTGGTGCACCAGGCAGTGGACAGACCCATGCAGCAGCAGCAGGAGATAGGCACCGAGAAGTTCCTCTTCAATATGTGCAAACCTAAGGTAAACACACAATGATAAACTACAAAATTTACTAAGACAACACACTCAGAATTTTCAAATTTTGTTAAGTGCTGACTGGGAACCAATATCATATTTATGGGTAATTTAGTCAAATGTATCTTGGGCAGAACCTAATCTAATCAATCTGTACAAAGAGGTATTTGTTAGTGATGATACAAAACTTAACAAAGCTGCTTTTTATTCAAATGTTTAATGTAAGTACCAAGCAACATAACCCATCCTCATCTCCAAACAAAAATATTCCAATCTATGTCTTTTGTTGGTAGATCCTGGAGATCACTCTGCTGATTGCCAGCTTCATCAACACCATTGTTCGGCAGCAGGGCCTGACCTGCAATGGGAAGTCTGGTACGCTGACCCGAACACCAACATCACCACAGCAGAAACCTAAGGTGTGGGACATGGAGAGCAAGGAATGGCCACAGATCAAAAACAAACATGGTATTGTGGGCACCTCATTCTATGTGTAGGGAGGCAAACTCTGCAATCAGACAATGAAGTCAGGAAATATCATGTGTTTCCTGGAAAACCTGTCAAGATGTTGGAGATCTCACCAGTATGTCTGTAAAATGAGAGTAGTTAGAAAACCATCACACTTGGATCTTGTAGTGGAACCCACATGTACAGGAATCTGTGCTAGTACATGTATTTGGAAGCATCCTGTAAAGGACAATGCAAGAAAGAGCTGAATTTTAGATTTTGTTATCTTAACATTCTACTAGGATGTCATGGTCATACAGTAAGAAAAAATCTACAATCCAGAGCATAATATTCTGTAAGTACAATGTGTGTTTTGAGACGTAAGACAGAGACACAGTATATTACAGAGTGGCTAAACATACCTAAACGTACCAGGCAGTGGTACCTTGTCTGTAAGAGTGTGAAAATACCAGTAAGTCTAATTACATGTATACTTGCACAACATTTGGAACTTCATGGCTCTAGAATGGGATACTACTGATACCACTTTGTTAGTAACTTGAAGAACATTAGCATTAATAGTAGATTTTGATAGTAAGTATGCTGATAGTGATACAATATAATTGGTGGGATCCAGAGTCAGTATGAGTATTCATTAAGTCGTCACTTTAACCTTCTCCCTGATGACTTATACTGTGAGTAATGTAAAGTTAGTGGATGAGACAACCCTTGGTAGGGAGAAGGTTAAGCAGAGAGAAGACATGAATCGATGTGACAGTATTATGAACAAAACTGGATGACATGATCTGAGAATGTGGACCTCTAGATACATGTGTGTCACCATAACTATTTTGTATGCTGCCACTCAGAAGTAGACAATTACCTATAACCAACCATTGAAGCTCCTTGCTGTAAAAGCTTTGGATGCATTTCCCTTGATGATCATGCATACTTGAGGCAAAGTGCAATACAGCTCCTTGCAGGCATGTACACAGTCCACTGAAGCAAGTGTTGTTAAATTTTAGTTCTTGCATATTGTACAACAGCCTTTGTGTGGCTGGTGGTTTGTAGTACATAGATAATGTACTTACTTGAATAAGCAAAGATGTGTAGCTATGTCATAGACATACTCTAGCTTTTATTTGTGTCGCGACAAAAAAGAGTAGTTACTCGTGTCAGATACAGAGTCCAGGTCCAGCCAAGTGCTGTGTTCTTGTTCTTGCTCAAACTCATATCAATGTACTTCACACAATTATCGTCTGTATCTATTGGTAGTTGTATCATCATTTATTTATGGTAGACATTTTGATGTAGGTGCAGATCAAAAATGTTTAATAAGTTACCAAACATGTTTTAATCAGTTGTGGAATGTTTAAAAGGAATATTTTAGCATTTTTGTACAGAGGTTATCATGTGTTGCCAAGACATTTTATTTTGCATATTGAACTTCTTTCTTATTGTAAAATGTTGTATTTCTGTTTTAATAATAAAAAAAGCTCAATGATGGAACTAATTTATGGAGGCATATTTAACATTCTTTTGGGGTTTTTTATCCAGTGCCTGGTTTGCATGGAGCACGTTTTAAAACAATAAATCCAAGCATTGAACACTACTGTCTTTTGGTAGCACCACTTTTTGAATGACACCCAAGGAATGTCGTCTTCTGCTGGGCCAGGCCAGGAGGATCTACTCTTTTCTGTTATGCATTTTGGGGTGGCCCGTTAGGAGGCGCTGTTGAAGGTACTGTAGGAAATCTTGCCCGAGCTGTGTCCTCCGCGCCGTAAATGCGTCACAGCCGATTTTAGGAAATGTCTTTGAGAAAATTACTAGTGATTATCTGTGCTATGCAGTAATTTAGGGGTTAAGAAACAGCTGGGGCTATTCATTACGTAAAATAGCAGGTTATTGGGCCGCTTTTCACATATTTTCTCCCTTGTGGTAGACACAAACCACGTTCGCCCACCTTTGACAACCCATAATTTTGCCCCATTGTCAGAACACGAGCAGTTGTACTCCGCGAGACCAAAGTAGTGTTTGGTTGATTGATAGAGTGGGTACAGACGTACAGTAGGTCCCGACTAACGACTTAATATCATTGCCCAGATGCGAAGGACATCCCTCACTTGAACGATTTTGACGGACACTGTGATGTATTCATTGGTCTCGTTGCAGTGGTGGGCACTGATACTAGTAACTCCAAATGGTTATTACCATTGGCTGTGCAATTGTTTAGCGACAAAGATCGCCGAACAGTGGAATCGTAAGTGGGTTCACTGCGGATAATGAGCCGATTGAAAATCAGTCTTCATTAGATGTTAATAGGGTGGTGTCTGATCTTTCCGTACATGCTGATGCTCGTGTGGGACGTCATCTACTAAAATACCGATTTACCGGCTGCAATACACCGGTGATAGGTCACTCCAAAATCCCAGATTGAAAGACAGGTAGAGATTACGCAATCAACGACAAGCATAGGCATATTCCATCAGTTACTTTGACCATGGAGGTAGAAAAAAAGAGACTCTCTTTTCTACCTCCATGCTTTGACTAAGGTTTCCGTTTGGCATTGCGTCACACGTTTCCGGTTTACCTGTCGCACATCCAATCTCTGCTCACGTCCGGTATACAAGGAAGTTTCCTTGAACGGGGGCGCCCGACATGAACCATGCTTTAAAATGACGTTACTAGTACTTTACACAGGCAACATCCCTGTAACCTGTTGGAATCCCGCCTCCAGGTGTTCCTGTTTTCAGAAGCATTACCTCATCCTATTTTCCCCTCCGCGACAATGAAAGCTGTGCCCCACCCCCTTTACCGCTAATTATCCTATTACCCCTCGGGCAGTGATTGTTCCGAACAATCCACTGACAACTCTTTGGCCAGAGGGTTTCCTGTCGTATTCTGTGCCTGAATGAATGGGAGCGATACACAAGGGTCAATTTTTACGGCCCGATGGATTTTTGGTAGGGGCTACCTGCAATTACAACCTGCGGAGCAAGGCACAATAGTTCTGGGTGACAAATGCCACCACCGCGCAGTGCTGCTCTCCGCGATTTTGTTTTATCGTCACTTGTAAAAAAGTGCAAACAAACTGCACGTAAATGGTAATAGCTAGTGAGTCTACCTGGTGGAGGCGCAGCGAAACGTGGCCTTCGCGACCCAAGCGACGCGGCCGCGGAGGGCGGCATTGTGTGGTTTGATGGCCCGTAACCTGCCACAGGGTCTCACCTGTCAGAGAGCGGCCCACACACCTTCGGGGCTCGGTGGGGGATCCGACCTGCACAGTACTACACATGCAGGCGTCAGCTTGTGACAAGCTCTGGCGCCAGAGCGTTTGTCCCGCATATCTAGCTACATATGTGAGATGTAACAGAAAATACTGTTGAGCTCAGGTGATTATGAGAAGGATCAGATTGTAAAATTGTAATGCCATGCTTTGAAAGTGGTCTAAGAAGTATCTCAAGTCATATGACAGTCTGCAAGACATTACCACAAACAGTATCCCAAACAGGCAAAAATGTACCAAAGGTATGATCGAATGTTAGCTAGTATCACCTTGCCGCAGTGCCTCATCATTGAACGTTATCACCAAAGTCACTTCCTGTGGATTTCTAAATTTTCCACTATCATCCATCTTGCCGGAACTTCCTTCTTTCCGAGAAGTTTACCAGTAACGTTTACTGTATGCTAGCACGTGCCTCATTAAACATCAGTTGTTTACTAAAAATGATATGTAACAATTGTTTTTCACTGAATTTGAAGGTTGAGGTCCACCAAGTGACACATGGGTGCTATTCCAAATAGTGAGTTCGCGCGAAGTCGTCCCGCCCCTCACATGGGGTTGTAAAAGGCGGAGTGAGTCTCAGCACACCGCTAATGGTCGTATTTACAAACAGACCCTAAACTGACCACATGCTGGCTAGAGCTGTCAACACGTCGGGTGACGAACCGTGGGTGTGGGGGGTGAGCAGAGTCAACACTCGCTCAGGGATGCCCGAGACGACCCTTTGCTTTTAGAGTAGAGAGTAGAGTAGATCTTTCGTCTCGGTAGGCTTTTGTGTCTGTGTCTCCTACGGGACGGTTTTCGCGCCGTTTGGTGAGGAGCCAGTCACACCTTCTAACAATAACATATGGGAACGTTGGTAGGGCCAAATCACTGCAGTGTCTGATTTGACTGACGAGGAGCCGACGTCCAGTTGTGCTAGCCTCTACCAGGCTTCGGGAGCGGGCTGAAAGGGCCCCTGAGAAATTGGCCAAGTAGACATGCCGGAGTTCGCCGCTCCTGGCATGTTATCTCTATTTGGTCAATTTCTCAGCCGCTTCTGCAAGCCTAGAAGGGTTGCAGTTGTGCCCACTGGCCTGTAACGTTATGTCCAAAATTATAACAATACCACAGACTCAGTGGAGGACAAACATAATAAACACATCTGAGCTTGATACACAAGCTGCCTCTGCGCCCTGGTCAATGACCCACGGATATACTACAAGTAAACAAGATCACTATTCGCCGGGTTAGTTAATTTGATATACGACACGTTATACATGACAAAATGAGAGCGTCACTGTGTATGCATCAAGAAAATACACATGTAACGTCACATGAATGTGTCAGCTAAAGGTTTAGATATTAGAAAACAAACGTTTAATCACTTTGTTTTCATACACAATGGCTTTGAAAAAAAGTGCATGTTTTTAATTTTTTTGTTATTTTTTCCAACACGTCGCAATACTTGCAAAATGCGTCAAATCGGCACAAAAACAGTATTGACCATCATACTTGCGTGACGTAATACGGAAAACAGCATTTGTCACCAAGGTTCCTGGTGTCACTTACTAAAGTTACTTAACTTCTAAGTTTGCTTCTTTTAGTTTTCTCCTCCTTTCCTCCAAATCCACATGATCATGATGATGTACAGGACGTGGCTGGTGTGCTGTTTGTCTCGTAGAATTCCAGAAGGTAAATGAGTCTTTACTGACGTCACATTTTGTGACGTCACGTTCCTGAAGAGGGATTTTCCAACTACGCTGTCAATCAACCACGCTGAGAAGAGAAACTTCCAGACACACATCGGACCCAACAGTTTCAGGTGGCGGGAGACCAGTTTTTAGATGGTGGTCTCTAAGCATGGAGGCTACCTCCATGGTCTAAAGAAACCAAATGTTCGCTCTGCGAATAAAATACACCTATTTCTATACATCAAGGAACTTCAGAGACAACAACGAAGGTTGTTGTTCGAGAACATTTATAACAGTTAACATTTTGTTACCGTTATGAGTTTACATTTGGTGCAAACATTTGGTATTGATATTTTTGTGACAAAATCTCTAGTTGTTAACATTTCTCAAGTTCGTGCTGTGGAAGTCCAGTGCGTTTCCAAATTCCACCTTCAGCAGAATCCAGTCCGCTCGGCCGCTCAGGGGCCGGGGCCACGGGCGCATGGCGTGGTATGCCCCGCCCGGAATCTCGGAGGCCTGGCGTGCGCCGAGCCAACATACGGAACCTCTGAGAGGGGCTCGTCCTTTTCATTATTGAAGTTTATACATGCTTAAATAGTAGATTCAACGCCAAGTGTGATACTGTTAGTACTTTTTAAAAAATCTGTTGAGGATGAAAATCAAATCTTTTGTTGACAGGACTCGGGTCGGATTGGCCCTTGTGTTATGTAGACAGCGGGTCTCCAAGCTGAAAAGTCTACCAACTAACAGCCATAAAAGTTGTGGCTTCAACACCGTGCCGCGAGCGTCAAGAGGATGTTTGAACAATGCACTTTACTCTGGTTGCTCACGTAGCGCCCTTGCCTTCAGTCCGAGAAAAAAGAGGGGGTCAACAACCCTGCATAAGCCTGTCTGGAGACTAAGCACACCTTTTGTTTCACCCACAACACCTATTCAGCACAAGAACAAAAGATGTTTACCGTGCGGGCGTTAATCAAAACAATCGTTTGCCATGCAATCTCACACCGGTACGTCAATTAGAAAGTGAAAATTTAACACCTTTACATGGGTGTAGAACGCTTGGAAACACACCACGATGCACCGAAGAACTGTTTCAAACTTTGATCCAATGTGATGTGCTATGATATTGCCGCCATGATATTTAATAAGTGCACACTAAATCAAATGTGTCTGTGGTGCTGGTCGGCCTGCTATCTCTACACGGCAGCTGAAGTACAAGTTGGCTGGTCTGTTTCAGAGTGCCAAACATATTTCTTTGGGCACTGTGGGTCCCTCTTATGAATGGGATAAGAGATCCGAAAACAAAACAGGCTTGTGTGCAGAACAGAGGTGATAGACAAACAGAGTGTATGCTAATGTCGTCCTTTTGTTTTGGCCATTATGGCCTGCGCCAAATATGGTCCGTACTACTTGACACTTTACTTTGTCTGGGGAGGATCAACCCCTTGCAGCACCCCGATAGGCCTGAGTCTGACGTCACAGTGTAAATTTAAACCTCCAATGGAAGTGGGGCGTGGAGGTCGCTATGTGTACAGACAGGGCTCTCGCATGTTCAGTTATTCAAGCCAACAAATTCCTTCACACAGCCCCGCACACAAAACCCGCGAAAATAATCGAACTGTGTATTGGCCGTTCGCAGACCGCTACATTGGGTCTGTCTGGGTCTGCAAAATTGCTACATGAACTTCCCTACACAAACAATATGCAAATTTCAGTTTGCAACATTGTGAGGGCCCCTGGGTGGCAATTATGTCGTCATGGTGACACGGAGCCCAGACAGGGTCACCATACCTTGGAATGGTCTAACCCAAAGGAGACAGAATCTTAATTCATGCATAAAACTGTCTTCTAAGTTACAAACAGTGAGTCACACAAAAAATGTATTTCCTTTATGGTATCTATCAATTAACAATCTTGCTAAAACATTACATCAAAATTAACCTATTGCCTTACAAAATTGTATATAAAAAGGTTAAAACTAATACACCCCTATTCTTGTAATGTTGTAGTCAAAGCTCCACCCTTTTTGTTACCCGTCAGACGCCATAGTGCTAAGCTCCGCCTACTTGTCATCCATCAAACACTCTTATCTCAATCAGAACTTGAAAAGGAGGAAAGGCGAACAAATACCTTCAGTTGCAGTGAATGACCGCCGCTGGAACGGATCAGGGGTCCACAGAGAAAATGTCCACCGCTCTCGTGTCTGCTTTCTACGATGTGGGCGATGTTTTGTATAAGGTAAGAGAAACTTCAGTTCGTTTGTGTGTTGAGTTCAAACAGAGTTTTCACTGACTTTATAGCCGAAACACGCAGGAAGTTGGCGACCAACTGTTGCAATCAGCGCGAGGCCCCAGACGGGTGGCAGGAATCGCGAACCGAAAAGTTGTGTGACATTACTCCGATCGCCAAATCTTGACTGAATATATCTCTAATATTTCGTTATCTTTTGCTTCAGAACCAAAAGAACAATAATATGCAGTGGAAGCCGGACAGGAAGGCCGTGGGCTCGCCGGTAGGGACTACGGGGTTTCCGAGAAGGCACTCCACGTCCAGTGTGTCTCCAACCCTCCGAGAGCTGGGCAACTCGAAGTACAGCAACACACTGATTTCCATTCCCGATGGTGGGCTACTCCTAACCGGTAACAATAAGGAAAACCACCAGGGCAACGGTAAGCGGGATCGGCTTCAGAGTGACGGTGGAGAGGGTAAGAAGAGTAACATAAACTCCTCCCGATACAAGACCGAGTTGTGCCGCCCCTTCGAAGAGAACGGACATTGCAAATACGGTGACAAGTGTCAGTTTGCTCACGGCGTGCACGAACTCAGGACCCTAGCCCGACACCCTAAGTACAAGACCGAACTGTGCCGTACATTCCACACTATCGGATTCTGTCCATACGGACCGCGGTGCCATTTCATACACAACCCCGAGGAGCGCGCCCAGGCCCAGCAGAGCCAGTCCGGGTCCTCTCAGTCGCCTCGTCAGAACCAGCACAACTCTCACCGCGATCGCGACCATCATCACAACGAGCGGAACAACCATCACCACAACAGCTCTCGACCTAGGCCGCCCCTGCAGCACTCCGTAAGTTTGCCCGGGCCCCTCTATATCCAGGACTCACCCCCAGCCAGCCCGATCTCGCGATCGCCACCCCCGGGACTCTCATTTCCCGCCAACGACGACGTGTTCTCGCCCCTGCCACTGAACGCCAACAACGCTTTCACGTACGCGGCCCAGGACATTCCAAATCCGATGCTGTCTCCCGTGCAGCGCTCCACACCTCCTTTCGGAGGCCCCCCTTCCCCCGATGTCTTCAGCATGCAGAGCAACGGAAGCCTGTACAGTGCGCCGCCGTCTCCACCCGACTCGCTGGCCGGGGATCGTGACCTGTCCCCCATCGGCGAGACGTTCGACAACCCACCCGCACCCATCGGCACGACCGGCGCGGCCAATCGGGCTGGATCCGAGTACCGCCTGCCCTGCTTCTCCCGCCTGTCCGAGTCCGACCCTTGAAAAGACTGCCGCGATTCGTGCAGGTCATTGTACAAACTTTTTGCACAAACTTTCCATATAGACTAGTTAAATCATATTGGGTTGGTTATGTTATGTTAGAACATTGGACGCTGTTGATTCATGTTCATTTGTGATTGTTACCGCTCATTTGTATAATTTGTGTACTGGAAAGGGCATATTTTATACTGAACTGTTAATATACTTTCCATCGTGTATCAAAGTATTTATCAGGGGACAACATGTATGTTGTTTATTGTTATTTGTTTGTTACTTTGCGTCACCAAGTGGCTCAAACTAAAGGCTACAGGCTTCAACTTTTTCGTTGAAAGGTTCTCTTGTTATCAAACCTTTTGCCATTGTAATGCAGAGCATACAAATTTTGTACTTTGTGTATGTTAAGTCCTGTAACCACAGCACGACACATCATTGGAACTATTTAACTTATGTGACTTATTTATTTGAACCTTATACGTAACGTTATGCATTTTGGTAAATTTATTATGCTCGTTATGTACGAGACGATGAGAGTGATAGATATTTATTATATTATGTTTAATTTATGATTGTTTGTGAATCACAGGATTGGAGTGTGTGTACTATGTGTATGGTAATATGTGTAATGTTGTGGTTCCTCTTTTGCAACTTTTGTACTGATTGAAAAATCGAACGCCGAGGTTGTAGCTTGCATTTTCCACTCGAAAGCTTATCATAGTAATCAGAAGACTGTAGATCAGTGCAAGAAAAAAATTGCAAGTTTCAGAGTTGTGCCAAAACCTGGAGATCACTAAAAGAGTACGGCAGTTCTTGCTGGTTGTAAGTTTGAACTCTGTTCTTGTACTTACGGACAGGTTTGTGGAATATGTAGTTACGTGTGGTTTCTATTCAATGGGAATTCAATCACGGCTTGGCTGTATGTTACTGGTAAAAGCTATTATGATTCCCTACTCGGAGCCCGCCATTCATAGGCAGTAAGCCATGAAGTGGACATCTCAGTGCCTCATTTCTGGCATATGCGCAATACGAATGTTGTTGACAGGAGATCTTGTCAATAAAAAACGTTTGACTTGAATGATATTGTTTGTGGTGGCATGTATTCCTAGTAATCTACGGTATGATAAGAAGTTAGACATGTGAAGTGTAAACGGACAAACCAGGCATAACCGGTGTTGGGACTGTGGCCCTAACTAGGGCTTCACAGGGTTCATGGAACTGGAGAAAGGACTGACTGGTCCAGATGAGTCTTTGCGGTCTCCTAACCACAACTTGGCGGCAAGGCGTGTCGTTGAGTGAAGTATATTTTTCAGTAAAGTTGGCGGAAAACTGGACCCCACGGAGGGTTTCTCAAATTATCCCTTCTAGTAACGGCAACGGTTACCCTACGCCCGAGGGTTGTTTTCCCCCAAGGACCCACCCACAACTGTCAAAGGGAATCAACTTTACTGGTTACACTACCCAAACAAACGTAGGTGTACTCAGTTCCAGCGTGATAAGGTGGCAACAGTAGAGAAAAGTTCGTGTTGTACCAGTTGGGCGACTTGGGCCCCACTCGCCCGACCTCGTGGCGCGACAGTCATTGGCTGCAAAGTGATACCTCCCGCGTGGGCAACCAGATTACTTCACCCATTGTGCCTGTTATAAAAGACTCAGCTTCCATTTAAAGAAAACACTCCTTGATTATATTAGAGTGGGCACTAACTTCAGAAAATGAGGTTAGTGGTGGCGGCTGTCTTCCGTGTACTGCTTGTGTAAAGAATCGTGAGATCGCTGGTATAACTCTCACAACTCATCAGGCATCATTTTAGCTCTGCGCAAGGCAACCGAAAAGTTGTAACCAGGGAAAACGTGAGAAGATCACGAGAGTCCCCGCAGTACATTGCCCGGCCGGACGCCGTAACCACCAAAGTTTTTACTCGGCACAGCTTCAGAAGAAAATGTAGCTAACAAATGTCATGTTTCAATATCGATGTTGATATTTGTAGAGCGTATACTTTGGCAGTTATTACCGAGTAAGGTGTCCGACTCGCCTGGGCGCGTTGACGGGCGGGGGAAAGATTTTGACAAAATTCCCCGATGTGAAAAGGCCATCTTGTTGTGAACGCCTGATATTTAAAGCAGGGTGTTGGGTACAGACTGTAGTGTATACACATGGTCCATTGCACACGCTTCGGTTCAGCCTCTCGTACTCGGTGGTCAATGGACACCATGAAAAGGTGCCTAGGGGCACTGCGGTCAATGGATAGGGGAGTCCCGCCCTACGGTGGTTGGCAAACAGGAAGTGCGTCACGGCAGATAAGGTTTCCTATAGGTCAGCGGACCAGACATCTTAAACCGCGCGTGACGTTCCCGGCAAAGAATTGCGTTCGAGGAAATACCACTGGGGAGTACCGTGCACTGAGGTACCGTGCACCGGGATCAACGTGTTCCAGGAGTGACGTGCACTGGAGAAAAAAGTGCAACTTTGCTAGTAGATAAAGAGAAATATTGTTGCCTACACAACTACTAGTATTTTGCCACTTCTCGTCAATGGGCTTCATTGCCACTCCTAGTCTGTGCCTGGCCACATGTGTTGCTTTTCACTCCTCGTCCCATCCTCAAATGTGTCAACAGAACTTTCAAATGTCAGCTTTCTTTGGCAAAAACTTCAGGCATACTAGCGGGGTGGATGCACTATAGAGTAGGATTAATTAGTGAAACCACGTAACCGCAGTTTTTGGTAAACTTGTGATCAGTAAAACGGAAAGACACGTCACTGTAAATAAACTCCATAAACGAACGACCAGGAAGTGTCATGGTATTTTCCACACCTGCACAGAAACTACGTCTTACCAAGGATACATGTATAGTCCTTGTTCTTACGCACTTCAAAGTTCAATGAAAGACCGGCATGACCGTACGGTAAAAATGACCCCTAATAATAACATTGGCAAGTAACTAATTTCTTGGAAAGGTGCTTCTGATAATATTTTTTTAATAATAGGACGCTGATGGTAGGTCTCTGTCCTACGAGAGACAAGAGTGAAGGCGAAGAGAGAGAGGGGGGGGAGGAGAGGGAGAGAGTACTAGTATGCTACGTCTGTACATAACGGTTATACACTACTGATCACACCAAGGTGACAACTTGACCGATCAGCTGGGCGAGGGGGCGTGACGTGGGATGTGGCTCACCACTCTGACTGGACATTCCAGGCAATCCCGGCAGTGACGTCTCACGTATTCCACCACACAGACAGCACTGTCAACTTCTCCCCCGCCAAATTCTTAACCTACTTTGCCTACTTACAAATGCCACATGCCTTCTAGTACTACACGGAAACATCTCCACCAAAGTAAGCCCATGTGTTTTTGTAATTAGTCAGTTCGGGCATACCCCCTAACCAAGCGGCGTCACGCGTCTGGTCTTAATTTGGGGCCTGACGGTGACGACACAGCGCGCGGGTGAGTCAGAGGCACGCCTTGCACAAGCGGAAGTACCTGTGCTATCGATCCATGAACCAAATTTGGAACCTGACGCAAGCCAGTGTGGTCAATGATCGATTGAGTGTGTCTGTTGTTCTCAGGTCTCAAAGTTTAAAAGGTTGTGTTATATCAGTTTGTAGAGGGGGGCAGTGTAGAAAAAGTATGAACTGTTGCCAGTGCACCAGAAATAGCAAGAAATTCCTAGTCACACAGTCGTTTATGTATAAAAGTAGTTGGTGCCAAGCCGTTTAATATCAAGACTAGTCGTTGACCCCGTCAGCAACCAAAGACGCGCTGACCACAGAGAAGTCACTGACCGCTCTTTGTCATTATTGTTGCCAACTTGGAACAAATAAACATCATAGCTCAAGCCCATGGACTCACCCCCACATCTATCGCACATATTGGCACGTGTAACTGGTTTAATAGGCGCCTGTGGTTCTCAGATACCTGGTAGTGGCCAGCCCAGTGACTTGCTTGACGGCACGACTCCACTTTATTTTGGACGGTGGTCCGTCCGTGGTTCCGTGGTCAGTTCTGTGGACCCAAGTATTTGTTGAGTGCCAGACGGAGTATACAAATGTGCATGTACAAATGCATGTATCCGCGCGTCACCGTGTGTATGCAGTGGGGAGGTGTTTGCGTTGTTGGACTGGAACCGGGAAACTTGACCGCAGCAGCTAGAGACGGGGCCATTAGTCATTTGGCTGCTATTCTTAAATTAACGGCCAAGTCCAACGGCACTTAGCTGGTCACCACGGCATTGTGGTTGTTATCGGGGAGGTTAGCGACAACATTGAATGAAATCTCTGGCATGTTTTTAACCCCCACGAGGTCAAAACTTGTGACCATTTAGAACATATCTACATTCATATTGCATGTTAGGCCTCAATATTAAATGTCCAATGACAACATGGCCATAATGTATTTATATGTGCCACACTATTATCTACAGAAAAGATGTATTTCTAATGGAATATTGTAGTTCTTTGTTTTGACTTTAAACTTAAAACTTTAGCTGAATAGTACGAATGGTCCGAATACATGAGTGCAATGTGGTGGCCAGCTCTCACAAAAGTTAGATGGCAGCAGAGCGAACCAGTGTGGTAACCTTCACATGCAACGTCATTCACGTACGTAAACAGCAGCTTGAGTAAAGTACCATACTACACTGTACTGTGATCTGTATTAAATGCACTTGAAGTTCAATGTTCGTCACATACGCACGTGTTTAATTAATAATACCATTCCAAACGACGTGAGGAAAACCCTTCTTTTCCAGGCATTCTATCAACTGCAAAAGAAACCGACCACCACTAGCTAGCAATCGGTGGCAAATGCAGCTGTCAGTGTAAATACGGGGGGTAAACATATAAGCTGGGATACGCCAGCAAACCGAAGAACGGTGCAATACTGGTCAGTTAGCACTGTTACAATACGAGACCAATCGCATTTCTTGTTTCGAAAAAGACCACGGTAGCTTTAGATATCAAATTCTGACGTGCATCTTTCTTTAGTAAGGGAAGATGCTGTACACAAATGTTTACCTGCTGTAGTTGGTCCGACGCGGATCTGTGATTGGCATTGCTTCATAGACAAATGCACATGTAGCTAACAGTGTACGTTGTACTTGTACTAAGTTGTAGCAATGATTTAAAATGCAATATTTTTAACCTCGTTGGTTGTAGAAATGACGTTATCATACACCTCAATCCCTTCATGTTTTTTTCGTGGGGGGGGGGAGGGAGTGACAAAGTAACGGGCAAGTCGGGTTGACGTGCCCGGTGGCGTTTCCAACTTGTTTTGTAGCATCCCCACGCACCCTTTAGGTCACGTCAGAGCAGAATAACACCAGCAGCCCTTCTCTCCATCACCGCTGAACGACTGCCCCAGACCGACGTCGGATGATGTCAATGATAGGGTGCAGGCGCTGCGTGGCAAACCCTTTCCATAGCGATTAGTTCTGGTACTTCAACCCATCAGGACACTCAGCACACAATCCCCACTTGGCCCCTGCAGACAAGCCGCATCATTCAATTTCCATACTCTCGGAGATGACGTCCTTCCCTCACTTCTCCATATGATTTTAATGCACAGAGACGGCGGATGATCAAGAGGCTGCAGATTATTATTCAGGTTTTCTTTCTCCATGTAACAAGGCCGTCCCTGTTATCGTAATGGCATGCTTTGAAGGACCCATTGTTGTTGTACATAGACATTTATCCATTCATCTGCATGGTTCTTAATTCTCTATGGGGTTGGCAACCTCTCCTGGGAAGGCATTATTCTGGCGGGAACACTCCTGACCCACTCAGCCACTCAGAAATGCTCACTGAAAACGGCTTGACTCTACAAAACCCCTGGTTCCTACCATATCTGCAATTCATATTTCCACATCACAATGCTGGAGTTAGATGAGGACCCCTGCCGAATAATACAGAGCTACAGATGTAACAATGAATAGCAGAACAACAACAGAAGGTTGGACAAGTTGCAAACAAAGTTCACATTTGTAAGACTGAAAAAAACAGCCATATGATTTGTACTCATTCCACTAATCACAGCTTTTCACAAATCCACCCCACAACTCAAAACTGTAGTTTTGAAAGTGCTGGTCCCTCTCTATTGCAAATTGATGAGTGAGGAACACAGCATGGGAGGGATGGATATGTGGAGGATGTCAACAGAAAGTGTCAATTTTTTCCATAAATGGGGTTTGGTAAAAATACATTCTTTGGCTTTGCAATTTACTATTCATCTTACAGTTACACCCTCCTGTCCATCAGGGCTTCTGTACCCAACCAACATCCCTTCATGCCATGCTGCAGCTCCAGGACTATTATGCATTCTGAAACATGTGACCACATCCATAACTCTATCGGAATTATCCTTCAGTACTACCCGTATTTCACCAAAGTACTGGGGTCAGGGGTGTCATATAAATTTTCTATCCAAAGTTTGCCTCCCTGATGATGGTACCAAAGCTGTGACTGTGACTACAAACACAGCGATGCTGGTGGTGAGTCAGATGCTTTAATTCCACACTGTGTACATAACACATACAGACATTTCCTGTTGCAAAGACTATGTCATAAGGACCTTGCAATGAAAGTGGTCCCCAACCAAGATTGCGAGGATTACAGTAATCTTGGCTGTAACAGTTTAGTAAGCAGGGAAGAATTAAGCTAGGTCAGGCAGTTAAAGCACTCATTCATTCCCTAGTCTGCAGTGGCCCTGACTCATTTTTCTTTGGTAGTCAGGACTAAATGCTGCCATTCATAGGTTGACCAGTATTTCTTTGCAATTGTGTAAACCTAGCCCCTCAACACCCCTGCCTTGTTTTTTCGAAAAGCCCACAGGACATTCAATCCGACTGAGTTGTTCTGTCCATTAACAGAACGTATGAGTGCCAATGAAAAGGCCAGCACAAAATCTTGGCATTTACTTAGACCCCATAACCTGTAAGCCCATTGTAAGCCGAGCCCCCCATTCTCATTCTAATCAGGCCCGACCAGGTACCCTTTGGCAAGTATGAAATCATACACCCTTCCAAACAGGAAATTCAATATTATTCTGTGAGGTATTTTAGAGGAAGGAGATTAGTTGGCCCCATTGTGCGGTGTTTATCACTATGTTGATGTTACCTGTTCATACCTTTGGAGAACATGTTCGTTGGGGTCCATTTGCCGTGTCCTAGTATCTCAGGTGACAAGCACCAGTGTGTCTGTAGGGCTGTTATGTGCTGTAACCGCAGCAAGACAGATAATCTCTTCTCTCATCCCCCTATGTTTGATCAACACCCAAGGGCTTACAGTGGACAAGGTTCTCTGGGAGGTGGTGAAAACTCTGTAATATGTTTGGAATCCTGGGGGTCACTTTAACCGTCATTCCCCCCAGCACTGGACACACAGAGGTTTCTGACAAGGGGAGCAGGTCATTAATGTTTTTATTGAGGTAGTTTGAACAAATATACATTGTATACAACTCTTTGTACATATTGATACTTTTCAATATTTGGTCCCAAATTGGACAGATGGACGGGCCACAGGTTGGGAACATTTCGATAAGGTAACTATGGCAGCAGCCATTTCAGCTAGGAACTTATCACACCCTGCCTTAGTCAAACAGACGCTTCCATGTCACTTATACAGGTCAACTGGGGTGAAACTGACGCAAAAACACACCCAGGCTAACAAACATGTTAAAAACAGTCGAGGTACACTGTACATTTCTAAATCATGCATTCAAACTGAGGGATGCATGATTTGTCTCTTGAGATCAGACAGGCACTCAGCATCAGCGAGCCTCTATGTGCTGCCCCAAATAGAACATCAGTGATGGCATCCAGGGTGCCGAGGCACTTGTGCCTGTTAGCCTTAGAACACCTCTGCTTGTGGTGCTTGTAACGTTGAGGGCTTTCTGATGGCAGCATGTTTTTTTTCTCCAGCTGAAGGGAACCTACAAAAAAAAGAAAACTAGATAAGAACTTATGCATTGCAAATTAACTACAGGTATGGAAGAAAATCAGAGTCAATGACCTTTACAGCACCTAATGATTATGACCCACCCCACATGGTTATTATATAACAACCATAGCTTCAGACACACATTGTAAAGCCCAGATTGCTTTACAGCCATCACAGTCCTAATATATCACTCATATAGCCTACCCAAGTTCAGCACAAGGTCATGACGACCATTTTGAGCAATATTGATCCTGCTTCTGATAAACATCCGTGAGATTTTTGATTTTAGATGTTGTCAGGGTAAAGTGGTTTAAGTGTTGGAAAGTAATAAGAAGCTTGAGTACTAATGACGACAAATCCTCCCTGTTTAACTGACTGGAAATTCCCTTTGAGAAGTACCCTTACTGTGTGGCCATACAAACACAGTCCCAACACCTTGCAGGTAAGAGACAAAAACATACCATTTCTGTGTTTGCCAACACTGGCACGTAAAGGAAAGGAATATAGGCTAGGTTTTCTATGATTTAGTTGGGTAGACACAAGACTGCGTCAGCACGACACCAATCAATAAAGTGGATATGTGCACACACCAGCTTTATCAAAAATGCCATTACACCCAACAGGTGATGTTTGCCATTGCTCACTGCCCCACGTAATGTTTGAGCAAGTCGGACCTGGTAAAACATGCACCACAATGGCACACAATGGCAGGAGTCATAAGTGAGTTATTATAGCCTATGCACACAATTCCCTCTTTTATCAGCCAGATGAAAAGATAAAAACAGGCCTCTTTTGGTCTGGGGACAATGGCGAATATTGGTTAACTTTCCTACAAAAACAGCTTTGGTGCTTGGATGACAAAAGCTCCACCGTGCTCACCCAGACCATTTGTATTTAAAGAGACCCACAGAGAAGCCAGCAGCTCTTAGAGTAAACACTTACTGCACATGTGAACAAATCTGTCTGATCAGGGAGACTTGTTGGTGCTATTGGAAATAGCAAGGGGCATGTAACCACAAAAGCCTGCCTGGCACCTTTGTGGCTTGGGTAAGAGGGAGGACTAGCATCAGGGTGGGTCCCTACCCTATGAGAGCTTCAGTTCTTTGCACATTTGGTGGTTGTCTTGGACTTCTCTTCCGCAACCACAGAGAGAACTTGGAAGCAAGGTGTGGGGGTGGGGCGTGAAAAAGGACTTGTGTAAAGAGGCAACGCAAACATATCGATCAGGTGCCCTTAACGGCTTCCGAGCACCCTAGTTTCAAAGGAATATGATTCTGCATGAAAGGCCAGCACAAACAATCTCTTATCTAATTATCATCACACATTTGCTTTGTCCCAACAGATTTAGGCTGTTCTTGAACTGGCACTGACAGTGCTTCAAAGGCATCCCTTTGTTCCCAGTCTGCTAGGCTAGATACTCTGTACTGGCTAAAGGGGAGAAACCCAAGTCAATTTATTTACACAGGAGATCTGCTTTCTTCAACTGCCGTTCAATGTAAAACATGATTAGCAGAATTAGTGCAAGCAGGATGAGGGTTTGGCAGACATTTACAAATGCATACCAAGGGAATCAAGGCTGAAGTAGACTAGACTGCTGATAGTGCTACAACTGCTATTCCCCCATTCTGGTATAACAAAAGTCTCAGCGAACTGTTGGCAATATCATTCTCATCTCTGATGTGCACTAAGAATACATTGGAAATATCTGCCAAGGTTCATAAGTTTTTTATGAATACATATCTTACTACTATTAAATTTGAGCTATGTGCATATACCGGTATATACTATGCAATGTCAAGTTTGATGTGTCATGCCTGTACACACACACACACACACACACACACACGTGTCATGCCTGTACACACACACACGCACACACACACACACACACACACACACACGTGTCATGCCTGTACACACACACACACACGCACGCACGCACGCACACACACACGCACACACACACACACACAGATGCTTTCTCCTATACAGTAGTTATCAGCTCTTCCAGTCACTGTCTTCCCTCCCCTTTAGAGCCCTGAGGCACCAGTTCAGACAACAGCAGAGAAGAGAGTTCTGGCAGACATCATGTTGCCTTTCTGGGTACATGGAGCCATTTTAACCTATCTCATGTACTGCTCCCCCGTATATCTCCCCTTATACCTTCATGAGGTCCTAATTTTAGGAGCCAGCCCTTGGAATGGGGTGTGGGCCTCCTCACCACCACACCATGACTGCCAGCCAACAACTTCACCCAAACAGTCTGCTAGCTGCCCTTTCTCTGATTGGTCAGATGTGACCTCTAGGGGCAGGTCATAATTGATCTTGGGGCTCTCCCAGAGGGCATGCTGGGGTGGAAAAACAGGCAAAAGGCTTTTCAGTTGTAACATTACTAGCTTTGGGGTATAAATCATGGCTTTCATTTCTGGAAGTGAAGAGAAGAAGAAAACCTTATTAAATACATTTGGTCAAAGTGCTAAATTTGGGAGTGAACAAAGGCCACATCTAAAGTTGAGGAAATACATTATGAAAATTTACATCTGACCTCACTCACAGTATGGATCTAACAAATGATCATGACCTCCATAGCTAAGGACAGTCCCATGGTAAGTAAGTGAGGTTACGCTGTTTCTGGTAACAACTCATGACGAACATGATTGCTTAATTACTGAACATGTAATGATCCTGCATATAAAAATGCGATGACTTTGGCATAATGGCATATTAGACCATTATAGCTTTCCACCCAAGGCAGATCTCTCCAGCAAGAGCATCATTCACAGCAACATTCCCCAAGGGTTTAGTGTGACAGGTGCAAGGTGTTCCAAGATGTCCTTCTGATTGGTCCATCCCAGGGTGGTATTGGAGGTCACTGCCAACCTTGGAGCAGGGTTCACTGGAAGATAAATGCGCTGTGATCCTGGAACTCTGCTGGAATGAGCTGTGGATGGAATTATGACCCATTATGCTGTTGTTCTGAGCAGGCATTCACTGCAGAGGCTGACTGATGAGTGGTTTCAACCTGGAAAGGCTGCAGGGCCAGGCAGCAGAAGTCATGGCAAAGGGAAACTTTACCTCCAATAGATCTTTCCACAGACATGCCATTCAGTTTCTTCATCTTAGTTGCATGAGTACAAACATTTGTCATACTGTTCAGCTGTAGAAAACCAACTGTGTGCTGGTTATGTTGGGTCATGACAGTCTCCCTCCTTTCTTGGAACCTGGAATACTAGATAGAGATTGGGGAGGAATTCTGAGATATATGTACATGTACTTGTATCAGTAGTTAGACCTGTAAAAAGTGAGTTCGGGGAATGTGAAGGCATCTTATTGAGTAACCATAAGTTCATGTCACAAGGCTAGACTTTTACTGGCATACAGTTGTCCAAGCAAACACATCTGCTGTCTACTGTATACTTTGGACTTGGGTCCAAGGTACAACAGTCATCTAAGGACATGGTATTATTACATTTTGCATTGATATGTTGAGTCTGATGAACTTTGACAGCCCTCTACTATATTGTATCCCCCAGATCCATCTGGGCCAGGTCTGGTACACTGCAGTGTGTCTCAGGAGAAGGGTGGATATAGGGTATCAGGGTGTACCCCTACCACATGGAACCTGGGCTTGGCTGGGCAGATTTTCCTTCATCCATGGTTTCTTCTTCATCCATGGTGGCACATATCCAGCAGCACCAATGCTCTGCATCCTGCAGTGATGTACAGACAACCACAAAACATTCAGGACTCCTGGATATGTCTGTGTCAAGACTAGACTGATAGGGTACTCTCACCTCTTGATACACCTTGCCACACTTATCCCATGCATTGAGCCAAATCCACACCAGTAAAAAATTCTCTCATCATCATCTGGTATTTTCCATTATCCCCCATGCAGAGTCATGTTATGCAACTAGACTAAGCCTATTCCTGTATGTCAAAATAGCAGCAGGGATGTTTGCATGGCAGTGGGCCAGTGTGCAAGGGCAGAGGTCGAGATCCAGGGGTTACTGATGATGTCAGAGCCCTGGGAGGCAGCCGGCAGCCAGCCCACTGTGAAACACGAGGCAGCTCAAAAATGTGCCAAGACTGATGCACATCCAACGGGATGTTGTGATGTACAGGAACCGTGTTAACCTTCAAGGCAGTGATACAACCCATAACATACATACTGGGAACTGCAGCACCGCTGGAGAGAAGAAA